AAAAGATGACAGGTTCCATGAGGTTTAAGGGCTTTTTGCAATGTTGGCTCAAATGTAACAATAGGAACCAACAGATTGTGGTTTCTGCTTGAGTATTTCTTGTCCAGGAGTCTGTTTTTGTAGCAGAAAATAAATATTCTCCGTCAACTGCACTGGCAGCTTTATCTCTCTGTAATAAACAGGCAAGACATATTACACTGAAACAGACTCAAAGGCCAATGCAAGGACAACACACACAACAGATACTCAATTTTAGGGTTTATTTCATCTGCTAACATTCATCCTTGATCTAGACAAAAACAATTAGATGATTTTTTAAAATTTTATTTTTCTTGTGGAAGAAAAAACCTTTTAACACTTTTTGTAAGATGCTATAAATAAATATATAAAGCTTTAAGTGTTACTTGGCTCAAGTTAAAACAGTTGCCATTTATTTTTTGTTGGTTTTAAGTTCCTGAAGTGGGGGGGAAAGTGCAAACCATACACATTCAGCCCAATAGGATGAGTCCAGCCACAATCACTTTCAGAGAGGCTGAATCTGTTTGATCTACAATATAGAGGATGGAAGGCAGGTGTGGGGACAGTTGTATTTTTTACCCTCAGTCACACAACTCCTAGAGGAACCGAGTTCCTTGGTAAGTAAAACACTCAAGAAAGGGGAGAGGAAGAAAAAGAGAATCCTGCCTGCATTGCCCATTCCCTGCTCTGTGCAGACTGTGCAGCAGAGAGGAAAGAACACAATACAGGCAAAGTCCCAGATGAATGCAAATGACAGTGAAAACCAAAATGAGATAGCTGTAGGGATGGTGAGAAATCCTCTGCCTGTTGTGTGTTTGACTGGCAGACTACACATAAAAACACAGCAACTTCACATTGAGAGAGGATGGGGATTTTTGTCTTCTCCTTATGGAAAAAAAAGAAAAAGATTAAAAGGGGCAATAAAAATAAGTTAAATTATATTCCAATATGTACAAAACAAATCATGCTCAGTAAACCTTTTGAATATAAAATTATTCATTATAGTACAACTCTCTCAATCCAGTCTCTAGAACTGACATGTGGGGGAACTGAACAGGGAGGGGGAATCGTGGGGCTCTGAGGAGACAGACTCATATGCAAATCTGTTTCTTTTTTCAGCTTGCATTACAGGCTAGGAATAACAGAGCTGGGACAACACAAGCTTTAACACCCTGTGCTTACCAGGGCTGCATTCACCCTGGCAGAGCTCCTGTGGATGGGGTAGAAGAAGCAGGCATGGATAGCTGGGACTGTGTACCCTGGCTGACCTGAGCTGCTGCTCACTGACCTGTGCTGCAAAGGCTTGGAAGGCTCCAGATCAGGCAGTGAATGCCACAGTCACCTCTGCCTCTGGAACACGAGCTGCTAGTGTCAGTGGAAGTGAAAAGAAGAATCAAAAGAGAACACAGCCAGCCCTGTGATTTGAGTCCAGCAGACAGTGTCAGCTGCATGCCAAGCTCTGGCTCAGGGAATACAGCATTAAGCACAGGCTGGGTGATGAATTCCTGCACTGCTATCCCTTTTTGTGCTGACTGGAGAAGCCTGTAGGATAGGAGGGGGTCTGGGGAACTCTGAACACCAGTGAGACACTAGAGATGCTTTTAACCCCAACTATGAGCCTCGGCCAGGCTCTGTGCTGTGATGCTATCATCACCTTCTGGAGCTGCCCACTGCTCCCTGTGAAGTGACTTGACTGGCTCAGAGGGAAAACTTCCTAATTGTGTGGCCACTGGGGAGTCCTCCTGCCTTGGTCACACTCTCAGCAACTGTACTGCTCTTTTCTGCTCTAAGAGGAAGCCCTGGGAGAGAGGATTCAAAACCTTGTTGGGATCTTTCTTATGCTGCTTCAATTGTCATCCCAGTTTTGTAAGCAAGTAAGGGACTGTGGGGTGCAAAAACACCAAGTGCTCCTCATTTATTCCAAAATGTTGGGCATAAAGGGAGAAATCCAGACAAGCCAGAGATTCACACTGATCCTTTGCTGACTTTTTTTTTTGTTTGTTTGTTTATGACTTTGAACCCTGTGACAGCCTGGGCTGGCAACCTTACCAGTCAATCCTGCATTTTGTAACCTGGATAGGGTACAAGGTGGCACCTGACTGTCTGGAAAACTTTGGATGAGGCAAACTCCTTCAACAAAGTTAACTAGGATGAGACAAACCAGCAATAAAATGTTTTCTTCAGCAAGAACACCTACCAAAGCAGTGATGTTTACACTGTTTAGGTGACTAAAAGCAAATTGAATTCTTAGCCCTAAGAAGTCACAAAGTCCCTAAGAGAGAAGTCCAATCTAGCACCTGCCTGCACTGCTCCCAGCACTCTCCTAACCTGACCTGGATCATGATGCACTGACAGACCCCCTGAAAAAAACCACTTAATGTACTGAAGAAACTCTTGGTGTGTCTGGAAGTCACAGGAAAAACATTTTGGAAGAAAGGAGCAGATACTATCTGGCCACTAGTGCCAGAGTGCCTTAAAGCTGTTGTTCTCCATTCACTTTAAAACTACACACACACACTTTTCATGTTATTGTAGCATCAAAATATCAGTCCTAAAAAGAACAGAACAGTACCACTTCAAAGTGTGGTACATATAAATCACAAAAAACTACATTCACATTATGTTAAAAAAGTTCCTTTGCACCCACTGAAGGAAGAAGACAGTGCCAGTTATGTCCTGCAACCCACGTTCTGGTGCACAGCACTTAAAATAAATTAACAGCCAGAAGCAGAGCAGCACAGCAGCCAGGGTGAGGGATGGCTTTGGGGTGATTCTGTTCATTTCTATTACTCAGAATCTGTTTCAAAGTGCCCTATACTTCTCATACCTTGGAGTACCCTTTTAGAGTCTGTGAATTCATTACTCCCAGTGTAGAGGTGGAGAAACTGAGGCATTTGCATGAGTGCAGGATTTAAATCTAGAAACTTCTGCCTCCGTACTGAGGTCAGCCTTCCTTTTGTGGTTGAAATGAAACTGTTAATAAAGACAGTTTTCAATATAATTTAGGGTTTTTTGCTTATTACTGCAATCCATTACAAAGAAAATGTTGGAGGAAAGTCTTCTACTGACATGCTTCTAAGGGCAGAGGCAGCTTCTGATTTAGACAACCCTGCAGAGAGATTCATTAACATCCAGCTGGTTACTCAGAGCCTGTAACACAGGAACAGCTCAGGCAGACACAGCCTAATCACAACACTGGTCTGAGTCCCACAGTCCCAGCAGTGAGACACAAACAGGGATTAGCTGCAGGAACCCCTTGTGTGTTATGGATCCACGACACAGGACACACCCTGAAAAGCTTTTGGGGAAAGGTGGAAACTGTGCATCTGGAACAGTTGCTTTTCGTATCTCATGTGCTGGTTTTGTGAGTTAACAGCCTGCAAAGTTGCATTTTGAAAGTACAAATGTTTCCTGTAGTTACGGCAAAATGCAAAAGTGTGGCAACCAGCAAGCACAGCTTCTCCCAGTCTTGGAATTCAGAGATGGACAAGTGGACTTGTAATACCTTCTCTTCCCCCAAGCCAGCCACTAAATACTGCTTCATTTTGCTTCCCAGTTTTCACCCAGGAGGAAATGCCTATGGCCAGGCTACACATTTCTGGGAACAGGAGCCATTCTGTGGCAGAAGCACTGGCACAGAAGCCATGGACAGCACCAGCACATACTGGTACCACAAATGTGTGGTGAGAGTGTCCTGCTGTGCCTGCTGACAGGTGAGTGTGTGCTTGTGCACTTGGCAGCAGCAGGATCAGACTTGACCAAAATCCACCTGACATCAGCAGGAAACACATCCTGTGACCCTGGGGGACTTTGGCTCAGGGTTGTAACAGAATGTGTTTGAGCCTCAAGTGCTCTTTTTGTTTTCTCAAGTTTTTAGCTGCCTTTACTCTTCAGGAGAAAAATGTCTCCCAAAGCAAGGTGTATCCCATCTTTGCAAAACTCAGTCTGAACTTGAAACTGCTGGAAACAGCACACAGAGGCAGAGAAAGGATTAAAATCCAACCCAAGCAGCACATCACTGGATTTGTGTGATGGGAAAGGGATGCTGTAAAAATGACATGCTAAAGTTGAATGCATCAGCTCTCTGCCTCTCCTCCAGTGATTTCAATAGCATATTTGATTTGCAGTTAACATGGCCTTTGAAAATCAAAATCATATTCCATTTGGTTCAGAGTTTACCCTAAACAATAGCTGGTTCAGGTCTTACAGGCTGAGAAATAACAGAGTGAGACATGAACCAGGCAAAAACTGCCTCATTTCCATGCTTCCAGCCAAACAAAGAAGTGCTTGCAACAGCAAAAAAGTAAGCCATATTTTAATTTGGTGAGTGGAAAGAGGAATTAGAGAAGTCATTGTTGTTCTATGACTCAAAAGTCAGGAAGCAGAACCTGGTTAGACTGTCCCCACACTGGAGGATTAAACTTACATGAGGCCCTAAAAAACAGCATTGAAAGAGTTCTGCTTTGAGAGTGGTCTGAGACTAAAAAAACACTATCCATGATTCTCCTTTCCAGTTTTATGAACACAGCTTGTTCATTTAAAGTAAGGGCTGCAGAACAGGCACCCAGCCAAAAGACAATGTGCACTGTCTCATAATTAATTCAGACCCACAGTCAGAAATTTTCACAGCTCTGGAAGAGAGCCCCATCCTGTTCCCACTTGTATCAGTTCTAGTGACTTCACTGGAAGCAGGCTGATGCCCATTACCTCTTGATAAAAGCAAGTAAAAATAACTGAAATAATACAGCTTGGGAAGGTCTGTATGCTTATTCTGGGTCAGTATTTCACATAGCAACAGACAAAACAAAATCACCCCCTTGTCACATTCCCATTAGTGATTTATCCATTGCAGGGTCTGAATTTTGTGCGGATTTATGAAGGAGTAATTAAATCTTTCATCCTTTTTTTTTTTTCTTTTTTTTTTTTTTTTTTTTTTTTTTTTTTTTTTTTTTTTTTTTTTTTTTTTTTTTTTTTTGGTAGTATGTAGGATATGGTTTTCGTGTGCTGTCAACACACAATACTGATAGTGGTTGAATAGTAGTGGTGTAAGCTGACAGGACAACATGTGAATGCAGGTTTGAGTCTATGGTTGGCTTTTAACTTGTTTTGGGACCTGGCTGGGAAACAAATTTGGGTGTTTTGTGTATGAATTCCTTATTATTTTTGTGATGGAGCTGCATATGTATATGTGATACCAGTGCAATGAATCAGAACCACTGTGCTAAGTATATTTCCCAGGCCATAGTCAATTTGCTTTAATGTTTCTCATCCTCTGACTGTTTTTTTTTCTTTTCTTTTTTTTCTGGTGCTCTACTTTCTGGCAGTGGCTGCCAGCTGAAATGCTGTTACTGCCTGTGTGCTCAGATCCCAGCCTGACAGGATGGCCCATCCTCAACTTAGTCACCATTATCAGTTACTGACAAACAGTGCAATTCCCATCCCACCTCCCCCACAAAAAAACCCCTCTGTTTCCTTGTTTTTAAATTATGTATCTTTAGATCATTAGGCTCAGGGGATAAACAGATTTTTAAAAATCCTGCTTCTGCCATTTGTGTTAAAATCATGAGGATAAGAAACATTCTGTATTTGGCCTCATGCGTGGGTAACTGCATTTGTGCATTTTTTTATCTCTGCATTAGAATGTTGACCCTTTCTTTATTTTTATGTATTTATTGTTTTTTTTTAAGAATCTCATCGGTCTTGTAAGAAACAGTAAAAAGACCCTATGCTTAAGGAAGCAATCTATCTTCTGTTTTACAGACTTGTTTTTAAATAAAATATTTTTTGTCAGGTTTTTTTTTTTTNTTTTTTTTTGTAATTTTTACTTCCACGATTTTTTTTTTGGAAACCCTAGAATATCATTTTTTTTTTTGTCTGCCTAGGCTACCACTTTTTTTTAATATGGCTCATGTAGTCCTCGGTGGGCAAACGTCCTTGCTCTTCGGTCTCTTCCTTGGGAAGGGCTTCGTTGGACCGGTGGAGGAGCCTCTCCTCCCGGTTCTTTATCCTCTGCTCCATCCTCTCCAGCTGCCGCTTGTACTGGTAGCGCTGCTGGAAGAGGTCCTTTGCATAGTCATAGAGCTGCATGTCCAAGTCATTGAGCTCCTCGATCCTGCGGATGGTGTCGTTGTCCACCTCCACCCCGCCCGCCCGCGTGCTGTTGTACTGCATGAAGGGCCGGATGAACTTCAGGTTGAAAGTTCTCTCAAACAGGTACTGAGTCTTTCTCTGGAACTCTGTCAGGCCGAAGAAGGCCATGTCTCTGAGGTTTTTTTTGGCGCTCTCCAGCAGGATCTGCGCTCGCTTGTTCTCTGGGATGAAGGACATGTTGTAGCAGCCCACCAGGCTCAAGTCAGCCAACATCCTCACCTGGCGGTTGTTGGCCAGGTTGTACGGGCAATCCATGAACTCCTGCAGCGTGCAGCCCGACCAGTCCGTGCCCTCGTAGCACGAGGGCAGCTCCTCAGGAGTTGGTGTCCTGCCATCACACATGTGCAAGGATGTCTTCCAAGTAGCTCCTCGTTGGACGTGACGCCATTCGCTGAGGTAACGAGATACGGGGTCTCTCAGCAGCGTGATGTAGTAAAATTTTCTACAAGAAGAAGAGAAAACAGCATAAATATGCTGCTAGCAACGGGACAGATGCTTGGCAGGCAGAGAGCTAGAGCAGACAGCAAAAAACTGAGAGTAAATCAACATCACATCATCCACCCCACTGTACTTGTGGGTAGTTTTTTTCTTGCAATATCTCATGCAAAGCCATTTGTGCAATTTAGACCCGTGTTTCTCATTTCAGCCTTGCCAAGTAGTAGCACCTTCATCAGGATGTCCATTCCCAGCAACAGACTATAAAGTCAGAGCAAATCACCAGGACTGAACCTGTTCATTGACTTCAGAGAGCAACTGTGGCTCCTGGCACTGCCTGGCCTTTCCCACCAAGCACCGTGTGCCTGCTGTGCCAGCCAGGACCTGCTCTGAAGGACAGCCCAGCTCTGTCTGTGAGCTGGGCCTGTCACCTCCACTCCACGCAGATGCTGACCAGGACATCCTCTGCTGGATTGATTTGGCTGCCGAGCTGAAATCTGGGAGTCTGCAGTGAGTAGCAGGATAAAAACACAGGAACATCAATGAAGAACAATGGGAAATCAGGTATACAATATGCTTTGCAGAAAGAGAAGGCTGAGCTGACAACCAGCAATAATTTATTCCTATTTCAGTCAACCTGGCATTAAATCAAACAAACTTCAGACACACTTTTGACACGAGACTAAATAGAAGACAGCCAGGAAGAACACACATAATGACACGGGGCGTTCTTGCTGTTCTAAGTACAATGAAGTCCTCAACAATACAAGCTGTCCCCAGAACTGAAAACATGACAGCTGTCTCTTACAGAGACCCTCTGGCTTCAGCCCATGAAGTTCTGGGATTGACAGAGATGGAAGTGTGCAACAGCCCTCTCCACACAGAGGGAAATGGGCTTTTCTTCCCTAACTGCCAGCAGCGTGGGACTGAGGTGTCTTTGTGTTTCCAGGAGGAGGAAATACCTTCTCTAGTTCCTAAAGCTGGCATGTGCTTGCAGGGCATGGGGCTGTGACACTGAGCACACATGGAAGCATCTGGCTTTGGCAGGCAACACACACATGCAGCTGGGAGTGCTCCACACAAGGGTGGTGGAGGATTCATGTCCCCATCAGAAATGCATCTTCAGAATGCTGCTAGAGCTCACTGCCTGGCCAGCACTGTCCAGGGACACCGAATGGAATGGCCACTGAGATGGCATGAACAGTTTTTTGAGGAAAAAAACATGAAAGTATACTGTCTGATCCAATTTTAACAGACCCTTGTTTTGCTAGCACTTTCAGTATTATTCTTCCTATTAATAACTTAAATTCCTGCAATAAGAGCAATTTAGTTTTAAAATAATACATCAAAGCCATTGCCCAGGAAGTCTCATATTAAGTAATGTTTGCTTTCCTAATTCATTATAAACCTGCTGAAGGGCTGTTCCAAAGCCCTTCAATTTTGGTCTTTCCAACAATGGCAGCGGATGTCCACTGCAGCTCCAATTCCTCTCCAGCTTTCTGCCCTCATAACTAGGGCTGGTACAGACATTTGTTATTTTTGGAAACTATTCCATCTCTTTTCAATAGCAGGAGTATCTCACTGTCTAGTAACACTGTCCAGTACTGTCTGTGTACAGGGACAGGGAGAGAAAGGGGAGCAGACATTTTCTTTTATAGACTTAAAAAAGCCTACCTCTTTTTCCTTCCTTTACCTGGCAGCCTTTAGTGACTCCACTACCCTGACTGAGAGGCAGGCATAATTTACACAGACTGAGCTAAGAAACCTCCAATAGATGGGATAAAATACAGCACTGGAAAGAAAAGGAAAGCAGTGATGAATGCCAGATGTTCAATGACAGACAGTGGTGCTAAACACTATCAGCAGTTTTTGACTTGTGAACTGCAGTGGATTTTTATTTTCACTGATGTAATCCAAAGGTTGCATTTTTCACTGAGCAGGTCGAAGCCATTTATTATTTTGTGGCTACAGAAGCAACTAGAAGGTTGCTTCTCCCTGATCCCTAAGATTAGGGACTCTTTTTGTGTGTGAGGTAACCACAGACAAAGGAGGAGCTGATTCCTGTCCAAACATGCCACCTATACAAGTATGGATAGGGAAAAAAAAAGAACTGGTATCTGCATTTGGCAGACAGGGGAACCACAAATATTAAATGATGTGCATAAAGTCAAATAGAAGTGGCAGAGTTGGCATGAATCTGATTCCTGCAAGGCTGAGTCCAGCTTATCTTCTCTCTGTGTCTCTGTTTAAAGTTTAGGAGACTGTTAGTAAATCAGATTAATAAATATCATGCAAAGCTTCTGGAGTCCACTGAAACAGATACATTGAACAGGACATGGATTGGAGAAAGTTTAAGGAACAAGAACTTTTCTTCACACCTGCACTATAAGAGCTATTACATTACCTTAGTTGATGTAATACCCTGATAAATATTTTACCATGAGTGATCTTTCTCAGAGATTCATCTCAATGAATAAAAAGCATAGGAAATAGGTTACAATTTTAGAAATTCTACTGAATTCAATTTGCCCCTTTCCAGGTCTATCACACAGAAGAGTGCTTGAAGGAAAGAGTTCCCCTCCTAACACAGAAATCAGATTCATCTTTGGAAACTGGAACCAGGCCCCTGGAAGTACTTAAGGAAGATGCCCCAATGGGGCATAAATAAAATAAAATAAAATAAAAATTTAAAAAACCCCCAAAACCTCACGCAAACAAACAAACAAACAAAAAAGCCAAACCCCAAAAACAAAAAATCCGTAACAAAAAAAAAAAAAAAAAAAACCCACCAAACAACAACCCTAACAAACAAAACTAAGCAGAGACTTTAAAACAAAAGAACAGTTTTAACTGCCTAAGTTGAGATGAACCATTGACATAGTGAAAGTCATGCTCCCAAATTTGTGTTTAGCTTTCTAGAAAGGTGTTGGTTTCTGAAGAGCAGATTCCCTCAGCCCTCAGGTATGTGAGCAGTACACCTTCCAAGGGACTGTGACCTCAGGAGCCACAGGGGTGAGCCACTTGGGTATTGCAGGGATGACTGTGCAAGTGTTCACTTGAGGAACTTACTGAAGTTTCTGTTCTTGAAGTATAACTTGGGATTGCCTTTAAGTTTAGAGAAAAATTAGGTAACTGTAAATCATTGTCCATGAGCAGTCAGCAAGCTGGGAACTCTGTTCCAGCATGGCTAGAACACAGGCAATGCCACTCTTTAACAGTGGCTTGAAATCCATGAGGAACCACATGACTAGTACCTTTTTTTTTGTCATCAGAGATAAAATAAACCCATAAAACCCATGCAGCTGTGAGTGCCCTTCATTCAGCATGGTGCCCCAGACAGCCACTTAACTTTAGTGTTCCTAAAGGCTCATTTCAGAAGTGTGGTCTTCTCCTAGCCCAGATGGTTCCACTCAATCGTGCCTCATAAAAAAGCCCCACTTTGGTCATGCAGTGTCATATCTCACTGGCCTTTCTGGACTTAATGAGCTTGAGCAAGACAAATGGACACTGGAGTTAGTAAGATTTTTCCTCCCACGTGAAGCTGAGCAGAACAGCATTACTGCTCTTGGAGGACCCCTTCTACACACCCACGGGGCTGTGATCCCCAGGGGCACAAGGACAAGACAAAGTCACACCTCTGCCTTTCCTTGCATTGCTGCTCCTGGCAGTCCCAACATGGAAATCCACCTGAAAATCCACCTCTGAGGCATTTGCAGAGCTCACCTCAGACCTGCATGCAAGCTGCACAGTGCCCAAGGAAAGAATCCCTGGCATATTTATTAAACAGAACAAAGGAATGGTTTTGATCAACCCTGTACCTGAACTGAAGTTTCAGGAAGAACAAAATCCAGCATCAGAAAGGAAGGCCAACCTTGTGGTCATAATACACAAATGAATTCAGGAAACTTCACTTTAAGTGCCCATTCTGTCAAAATTAGCCCATTTGCCCCAGACAAATCTCTCTCTCCCTGCCTGTTTCCCATGTGTGAAGGGCTGACAATGTCTCCTTTGTCTGTTTTGAAAATTGAAAACATAACATCTTTTGGAGCAGGAGCTGTCTCCTTGCACGATTATGCAAAGCCCCTGTTTCAGCCTGGATTGAGGTCAGAGGACAATGGTGAACTGGAGGCATATTTTCATCACACAAGCATCAGAGGCACCACTGCCCACAGGATTCCCACCCAGACCTCTCCTTCCCATTCTCACACAGCAGCACAAAGCAGCCTTAGTTTTGCCAGCAGAGTTTTGGTTGTTTTTAAGCAGGGCCATGCTGCAAATGCAGTCATGAGCAGCTCGGGGTTAAAAATAACCCTTTCTTACATGGTTGAAGCTGCCAGTTAGCAATATTCTGTCTTAATTCCTGTCAGCAGGTTCCTCAGCTAATGAAGGGGAAATGAAACCCTTCTTCCTCTAAAAAACTCAATTCCTTCTCTTTTGCTAATAACCAGTCAAGATAATTCTGATAAAGTGACAGATTCTAAATATGATGCTACCATTTCTCTTCAGTTAATTTCCACTCTTTTTTACGTGCCAATGCATCCTTCTTACTGCTGCTGGTCTCTAAATTTTGCCAAGAACTGCTTATTTGACTGTGCAATTCCCTGTTCTTTCCTGTGCTTAAATGCTTCCTCCCACATGGCCAATTTTTTTTTATTTTAAATTTTTTACAGGTTCTTTACTGAGCTTTCAAGCATTCCTCCCAGGAAAAGCAAAATATGTAACAAGTCCTTTTTGATTACTGTGGTGGCCTTCCATCAGATAAAGAACAAAATACAGCTAGCCACTTGCAATCATAAATGCTTCATCTGCCTGCCAGGAGGGGGAAGGGGAAGGAAGCTGCATAGGTCAGCCTCAGCCATATAACCCCAATCTGTCAAAGCAACATTCCCCCAGGCTACAATTTTTCTACTGCTAAAAGAAAAAAAAAAAAAAATTAAAAAATCATCCTATATTTTTGCGGAATTAACTGAGCAGGGGGTCTACCATCTTGCAATAATGAGGAACACT